TCTGCCTTGACCAGTTGGGGTAAAAGAGAGAGAGAGAGTGTGTAATTCCTAAACCCTTCCTCCAATTTGGATGTGAATACCCTATTTTTAAAATTAAAGTTGAGAGTCTGAACGTTAGGTCCATAGGTCCATATTGATTTTATAACTGTATCTTGAATATGTTTTGGTAAACAGCTAAAATAAAAAAACTTGTGTCAGTGTCCAAATATATATGGACCTAACTGTAGATGTAAAACTAAATACAAACTTTTTGAAGAAGGCAAGTAGCTTGGGTTTGATAATTGATTTTGGTGCTGGCTAGGATTAGGGATGGAGTATGATAGCACTTATCCACTTATTGAATCAGATCCTTTCTTATTGTTTATTGAATCTTTTTAAGTAGGTTGTTATTTGGGGAATGAAGGATATTCATTTACCCTATATTATACTTGAACCACGGAGATTCTACAGTGCTGAAAGGGTGTAGGGCTTTCACCACACATTTAGTCACTGCTCTTTGACAGTCATTAACAGTGTCCTGATTATGTTTTTCTTTTGTAGCATTTTACCGAAATGAAGCCAAAATATCCCAGATATGGGTGATGCATCAAATCATTGTGTTTTCGTTACCTTAGAATGAGCTTTTATCTGCAGATAGAGTGGGTCCTCTTTTAAGGAGTCCGCCATGTTAGAACGCCATGTTTCTAGAGTAGCCCAGAACGGACAAATAAGATTAGTTCTAGAGTGTAGGGTTATAGGGCCAATCGTGTAGTTTTGCAGTCACCATAGTTTCTCCTATGCTTGGAACACGAGGGTGAGGTGAGGGCATTGCAATCAGCAACTATTGCAACATTAATGTAAGGTGTTGGCTGCATTTGTGATGAGTGCTGGTCTGAGCAAGTGTTAGAAAATTGCATTGCGACAACTAGACAGATGATTGATGTTGTTGATATTCTGCTAAAATGTCTTAGGAATTGCGTAATTAAGTAATTAAGTGTGACACTGTAACACACACTAATTGTACCTGCTGTTTCCTCAGGGGAAGTCAGAGGTGACGGAGTATCCTGTCTTTGGTCAACTCTTCATCGGGCTGCTGTTGGTGTCATCAGTCAGCTGTGTTCCCCTCACAGCTCTGTATGTCTACTGCAGGAAGAGGAAACATGGAAACCATCATAAGAGGCAGCGTACTGTCAGCACAGTATCTACTTAGTGACCAGATGATGACAGAGACTAACCTCCCACCATTACCAGCTAAACAAAGCCACAGTACATCATTTATTATCTATTACATGGAGGGACAGTGGTACATAATTAGTGGGCATTTGTGTTTTCTCTTCGTTCTCACCCAATTTCACACTACAGAAGTCATTTTTTAGTTGTTCTCCCTGCAAGAGGACCTCTTTTACTGAAGTGAACAAGGCCCTTTTGCAGCAGGAAACACAAGACAAATTGGAGGCATGGGGTCATAGAATCCAGATGAAAATCAGGTTAAACCTCCCTACTCCTTTTCAAAAAGAAGTTTGGGTATTCAAAGTCTGATGAATATATTATTGTAAAAAGATTTCTCAGTATTAAAATCACACAACACCTTTCATTTATGTTAAAGGTCCAGTGTGTAAGATAAGGGAAGTCAGACTTATGAGCCGGATTCAAATCAATAATATATTTATACTGAAAGAGATTCAGCACATTCTAAATAGAGTACGATCAGTCTCAGCTAGCAATTTCTACAGCTTAACTGTGGAACATGTTATTAGTGTGTAGATAGTTTGTTTAATTGCAAATTGCAACATTTACAGGAAAATATGGTTGTAATTCCATTTTTAGTAAAGCTTTATTTCACAGTCTGCTAATTACCTGGCATTTACTAGGAAACTAGATGGTAACAAAATATAGTATATTAGGAAAGTACCAAAAGAACTGGCTAGTAAGTACAAAGTGATTACCTAGTAAGTACATGGAAACCTACCATGAAAGTCATCATCATCAAGCATACTTTCAGATTGGCAGTATATGGTTTATAGAGTATATAACTAAAAATAACCAATGTATAGTAAGAACAATTAACCTTGTGGTATTTCCACATACATACTGTGGTATTCTCTAGTATGCAATGTGTACCTACTGGGTAATAACTAAGTTCTTACTAACCATTTATTTGGGTAGTTTCTTAATCAAGCAATTTTTACTATCTAGTTTCCTGGAAGGTTTTCATGTACTTACTAGGTAATAACTTAGTGCTTACCATCCTTTTTATTATAGGTATGTAAGTGTACGTATGTATGTAGGTTTGTATCACCTTGATTCCTTACCATCTAGTTTACTGGAAGGTTTCCATGTATTTACTTAGTAATAACTTTCTACTTAAAAGCCAGTTCTTTTGGTACTTTCCTAATAACTGGATTTTGTTATCATCTACGTCCCTAGTAATTAGCAGACTCTAAAACAAAGCATTACCCAGTTTTCATATGATGCTAGTTTACTAAATGGACATAATGATGGATGTATGTAGATATGTAGCAATGGCTCAGTGGGTTATGATATATAGTATCTTATATACTGCAAAGACATGACACAAGTCATGTTGTTTCATATTCAGCCTTAAATATGCATTCCTCTTATCAATGGGGTGAGCTAATTCAGGGTCAAGTCAAGTTTGTTTGTACAAAAATAAACAAAATCCCCCAGTGGGATTAAAGTCCAACAATAGGATTACAGAAGTCCAGCACTGTTGTGCAGTTTACCGTGTTTCAGGAATTTTCTAAAAGTGAGTACTTTGGCATAAAAAAAAGAGCAGTTTACATCACTAGTACTAAAACATGACTTGATTGTAGAGTGCACTGCCTGCAAAAAATATCACGACACAATGCTGACACTGAATTTAGTTAAAGTCAATTGTATTTGTATCACGTAAAATCATAATAGAAGTTATCTCAGGATACTTTTCATACAGAGCAGGTCTAGACGGTACTCCTTATAAAATTATTTACAGAGACCCAACAATTCCCACCATGAGCAAGCGCTTGACTGATTAAGGTGTAGTTCTTGTAACAGTCTACTCATCTAACAATAGCTTGTATAGAGTTGTCTGGTAATGTGTACTGTTTGTAAGATTATACAAATGGTCTGTTTTTCCTACATATTAAATATTTTTTGATAAGTGCTTTTATATCTGTTTTAAATGGGTTGGATATGCTATCATACATTCTCTATTAGATATGCATGTTAAACAGAGACCACATAAGGTCCATTGTATGAACCAATAATAGATCTACTGTGCCAAATATAATTTGAATACTGAAATATTTGCTTTATACACCCTCAAATATGTCAAATGTGTACATACTGTAAATATGTGTGCCTTCTAATGATCTAATGATGGGAGCCCAGGATTTCCCCAGTAATGGATCTTGTCCACCACCCACTGTATCTATATGTATTCAGGGTTCGAATGGTGAGTCATCTCCTAAATATGCAACAATGCTGCTGACCATTCAACGCCTTTAGATCTCTGCCGGGAGAAACCTAAAGACAGGGAAAGAGGACTGGAGTGTTGTATGACATCATTATGACATCACATGTAGGGTTGCCCCCTAATATTAGCTACTTAGTGGTCCTATTAGCTGACTCTACTTGGATTTGGAGCTCTAAGGGCAGGGGGAGTTAGGGTTAGGGTTAGCCCAACCCAACCCAAACACTAGTGTTGAGTGAAAGGCCCCAGTGGGGATTGTTGCTGGGGACCGGGGCTGGAATGCCAGGAAAGGAGTGGGGCAAGTACACTTTTTCTGTTAGTATTTAACAGGGGGCTGTTAAAATATATATATTTAAATAATTGAACTTACTATCTATTACTATCATTATAGTAATTATAATCTTAAGTTATAATTAATCATAATGACTATTGGCTTCATCTAATGACTACTACTCGACTAGGAAAATCTTTACTCATAGAGAGAGAGAACAAATTCAATAAAGAGTTATATAGTGCAATAAAGATACAATAGAGGAGGCATACAGGTCCTAGAGGGATGACAGATTGCACCTTCTCAGCGGAGCGAATGATATGCTGCAGTCTGTCCTTGTCCTTGGCTGTCCTTGAGGTCCTGGGTAATGATGGTACCCAGGAAGCAGAAGGACTCCACAGAGTCAACTGGAGAAGAAGAGTGAACAAAACATGATGAAGTGCCTCTAGGGTGTCCTTCCAATGGACAAAATGTGATAAAGTTCCCCCTTGGGTGCTTTGCTTAACCGTGACTAAACTGTTTTCGCCATAAATGCATCACAACTTTCACAACTTTTCACGTTTTGCTGAGGTTAGGCTAGCAGGTTCCCATTACAATATGATCAGCAGTCCTCACAACTCAGCTGGAGGTTTAAATGAGCATCAAATAACAGGCTGCTGATAAGCATTGTTTTGAAAGCAGAATGTTACAAAGTACAAAAGAAAATGAAGAGACTCTTACACAATATAAGCAATAAAGCACCAAATACAGATAGAGAGACAAAACTCAATAAAGAGTTATATAGTGCAATAAAGATACAATAAAACGATAAATGGGGGAAACACTTTTGTGCATTATATACTGTAAGATCAAGGCTGTTCAAAGTACTACTCAGTGCTGTACACTCATTGCTGTACCTAATCTGATAAATAGCAGCATTTTATATCTAACAGAAGCTGAATCCTGAAATACGATTCGACAGTACCATTGCTCCACTATTTCAGAAGCTGGAAGCAGAAACTTTTCATCATACACATTCAGCAATCATTACCACTTTTTAAGCATCTAGCATTTAACAGGGGGCTGTTAAAATTGTATATTTAATAAATTGAACTTACTATCTATCTACTATCATTATAGTATTATAATCTTTAAGTTATAATTAATCATAATGACTTATTATCTTCATCTAACATTTGACTAGGAAAATCTTTCTACAGAGCAGCCTAATCACCATTGATGGCTGTGGGGAACACCTCACATCAGTGACAACACAGAGAGAGAATGAGACACCACAACAACAAAACTAAAATAGCCTGAGAGAAACAGCACTGATGTCATCAGCAGTTTGTTCCCACAAATCAATCTGAATGCACTTTCACCAGATTCATTTTTGATCCGTGGGGTACGGTTAAGAGCGAAGGATCTAGTCTTGTCTTCTGTTTTAATTAATCCAGTTTCGTCTGCTATTCTTCACCTTGTCTTCATCTGTAGATCGGGATTGTAAGGGAAAATCTTGTTCCATTAAGCTTACGCTAGACAGGGTGACGTGGCTTAGATTAAAAGGATCCATAGTGGGAGCGCGCTTCGCTCTTGCAGTCAGCATTGTGGGTTCACAGTTTTATATTTGCAGCCTAAAGATCTTCAGAAGTAGTATCACTTTTTACACAAAGTGTCCAATCGCCTGGGGATTGCCACCGTCGTCCCACGCGGCACACGCCCTTCAACGTACTCAGTTCACGAATCGTTTTAATCAGCCCTATTTTTGCACTGTACCCGACCCAATCTTTGAAGGCAAATCCGACTCTCCAGGAGGAGAGTTCAATACCCAAGTTCGGCGAAAGTGAAATTGCAAATCCACTGGCCGCCTTCCAGTGCAGGATTTTCCGCGGGGTAATGGGTCAAAGAGGCCTCTCTTTGAGCTACTGCACGTCTTTAGGCACGTTACCACACGATGCCATACGCGCTCTCTCCTCTCCGTGAAACGTGGCGCCAGGGCTCGCTCTTCTCTTCTAAGCCTGTAGGGGCGCCAGTTACAACCAACACGACAAAACACATTATTCATGGCGATATGTTCCGAGCAGGCTCAGGAGCACCACTCTGACCCGCTCGGAATTTTATGTTCATAACATCTACGGTCTTCCGCGCGCTCTATCCTCAACCAACGCAGAGCGGCACCCAGCTGGCGTAGGATTTTTTATCTTTTTCTCAGGCTGAGGCCTCAGGAGCTATGGGCAATGCATCCCTACGAAAGTTTCGTTTTATCACACGTGCCGATGCGGAGATATAGAAACTTGTTTCATTTATAAACGAGGCGCCACCTGTGGGCCATATGGCGCTGAAATTGTGCACGATGCCTAACGAAGACCACAGGAAGTATGCCCAAGCTGTGTCCATAGGACATCACCAATGTGGAGAAATGGTCCAGCTTTCCTTTTTTTGAGCCGAAAATGTAGGAGGGAGTCTTAATTTTATAGCGTTCTCTATTTTTTGAAATTTTCAAAAATGTTCCAAATTGCTATGATGGTCTCCGGTGCTACGGAAACGATTTCGTCGAAATCGGAACAAGGCATGTAGGAGGAACACCCGAAAAAATAGTATTAAGGACATTTTGCGCTCTAACACGCAAACAAA